TAGTTAAATGTTAGTGACACAGTTAGCCCAGGTAGTGTTTTCCCTGGAAGTTTTAAGCAAAAGTGTGAATAAGTGCGTAACACTTTAGTTTAGCAGTAAATAAAGTTAAAGAAGCTGCACAATATTGTCACATAAAAAAACAGTATTTTTTCCCTGGTATTTTCTATCTAAGGCTGAGCTTTTTAAACAGGTGCTTAAGTCTCTTAATTTCCTAATTTCCATCCACTGTTTGTTCTTCTTTTTCATAACAAGTGCAGCTAACCATGCTAAGTTGAATCATTTGTAGGCTGATTGTAGTTGCCGATGTTTTTTTTTGTTTTTTTTCTTCAAGTCATGAAAAGTTTGTTTCCACGTTTGGCAGGAGCAGTTTTCTTGCATATTTTTTTTTAGCATAGTGCTTTGTTGGAGGTTGTTTAAGTAGCTCAGTCTTTAGTTAAATAGTCGTTGGAGAATGACATGTGACTCTTGCTCTCAGACATGTCTGGGCCTTGTCTTGTTGTAGTGCACACTAGGGATTGTAAATGCATGCCTTACTATAGCAATGATATTGCACTGTGAGGGTTTTATAAGATGTGAAAATATTTTTTACCAATATTATCATGGAGGATGGCACAGCCCCAACTGTAAGAAGAATAAAACATACAGCTTCTCTGAACCAGTGTGTGTCATTGGCTAACATTATCAACAGAAGAGCTTCTTGGCTCTGTTGCAACAGGCTTCATCTAAAAAAAGGAAAAACAAAAAAGGGAGAGGAAAAATTGGCTTCAAACCATCGTAGCCAACATCATTTTATCTTCTTTTTTTTATTTATTTATCTATTTATTTTCACGTAGATGGGAATCTTTTGTTTCAGTTTAAATAAATCAAACTGTAATAAGCCTGAGTAAAGTTTTCTTCACTTCACGCTTTCCTCATGTGCAGTATTTACTACCAACATAACTAAGCGTGTAGCAAAACAGCGCATTAGAGGGCAGAGAAAGTAGCATCCGTGCAAATACAAGATGACAAAGCTAATTTAAAATGAAACCGATTGAAACACCAATGTCTATTTTCTCTAGTTTGCTAGCACCATGTAGCCAATCTCTGTAAAGTGCGTAGGTAACTTTGCAAGTGTCTGTTATATGCAATGATGGCCATTTAATGAAATGTTGTGAAAACTTGTGAACTTAACCTTTTTTGTTCAGCGTCTGTGGTGAGGGAATATTGAAGGAAAGTAGTCATCAAGATGAGAAGAAGCTGGAAAATATGGCTTGTGTTTAGTCATCAGTGTGCAAACCTAAGTGGTATTCATGTTAAAGGGGCAATATATGTATGTGTATGTGAGCCTTTGCTGCTGAAGTTTAGTTGCCTGGATATTGCTTTAGTTGCCATGACATTTTGAGGAACCATCCCCAGCCAGCTGCATGGTTTAGGAAGCATCTGGTTCACAACATGACTGAAATAGACTCGGTGTATTTCAGGATGGAAAATCTCCTGTGAGCAGCAGAAATGTTGGAGTATGACTGAGTGCTATACTAGAAATAGTTTTCATTTATTCAGTGAAGGAATACCACAGCACTTTCCCCTCAACTCAGAGTGCTGCAACACATTGATCAAATTGGGTATCTCTTGGTGAGTCCCAGGCACGCTGCGTAAATGGTATGTCGAGTCTTTGCGGAGAAAATCAAATTATGGTTCCTTCATTCACTTTCAACGGAGGTGGACTGCCAAGCGGTTAAAAAGCATCTCAAGAGCAGCAGCTAATTTATGAAGTGTTTACTTCTTCCCATTTTTCTTTGAAATTTTATATTTCTCTCATTCTGTCTCTGTTTAACAGTATTTTGTTTTCTTTTTTTTTTCCAGTGGTGCAAAGGGAGGAGGTCAGGAAATAAAGGAGTTACCTAGAAGGTCTCCGTCAGTCCACATTTCAGTTGGAGCGAGAGAAAACGGCACAGAGGGAGTGAGAGAAAGGAGAAGAGGAGTGCGAGTCGCGTCTGCTCTTGGCAGCTGTTCCAGCAGCCTATTTCATTGTTTTTTCGGCTGTTATTTTGTTCCTGCGTTACGTCTTTTGATCAATCAGTTCATATTTTTAACGTTAATGTGAGATATAACTGCTGTAAAAAAAACAAAATAAGGAAATCGCAAACAAAAAAAAAGAAGACATTACTAGCAAGAGTGTTTTATTTTGTTCCATTGTTAATTTCTAAGGTTCTTTTCGTTTCTTTTTTATGTTAACAACCTTTTTTGGCTGTGAGTAGCAGGAGCTTCCATTCTCCAAACTTATCATTGAAAGCCCTTCCTTAGTTAGGACCTGATAACCTGGTATTCCTCAAGCACCTGAAACTGGCAGCTATTCTCTTTGTGTGTTTGGGGAGCTCTGTGACCACAGCTTAAGCACCACTCAGCCTTCTAGTCACCTAAGCCTAACTAAAGCCAGCCAGCTCGAGCCTGGTCCAGCCCAGTCCAGCCTGCTCCGATTATCTGGACAGGGTAAGGAACCTTTTTCTTTTGTTAACCCTCCTTTTCAAAGTTGCATTTTATTCGTCACAAAAAAGAAAAAACACAAAGAAATCTGGATACTTTTTTTCCTCTTTAGATACTCAGTTCTGTGTGGACGTGAGGAATATGACTGCTGAGACTCTTAACTTCGGCCCAGAATGGTAATATTTGTATTTTATTTTATATTTTATTATTTATATATTTTAAATTTTTTTTATAAAGAAATATTTCCCAGAGGAACCGAGTGCTTGTTTTTTTGTTTGTTTTATTTGTGGGGGGAAAATTAAAAGCAGATGAGTTATGCTGAGTGCCATTCTGGTTTTACTTTTAAGGAAACTTTGGGCATAATGAAATGTGCAGATTTAAGCAACCTCCAAATGATCTTCTTGAATGTGGTCGTTAAATTGCAATGGCAATTTGCTTAAGTCTTAACGTCCTCTGTCAATTGGACACGTTCCCCTGAAAATGACACTAGGAAAAGATCAGGGGTTAGTGAAGTGAGTTAGGTTATAAGCTGCTGTTCGATCAAATTCAGCTCAACCAAAACGGTTCAGTGTCCGTACCAAAAACCATGAAAACAAAGGCCCAAAATGGAAGAGATGACCTGAAATATTTAGATTTTTTTTTTAATGGTCTCTCATTAATGTAGAGCTGATGTCTTTTGGTTTATGAGTTTTTGTTGGACAAAATGAGTTGTGTGAAGGTGGCACCAGCATTACCTGAGAAAATCATCGTAAAAGTAAACCGGTATGAAAACGGCTGTTAAAGATGCTGTTAAGTAACTTTAGCTGTGCAGATGGTATAAGCAGCCTTCATTCTTCAGTTGGGTTCAGGGTGTTGACCTATCCTTTGTGTTTGGATTGGCAATGTGACCAAGAAATGAACACTTAAATTGAAATATAAACATTTGTAATGTCATAACTTGGTTGGATCTTTCTGCAGTTTGAATATAGGCGGCCAAGTTACCACACAAGACAATGTGTTGTAACAGGAGAGAGCATGCAGTTCGTTTACAAGTGTTAGCCAGAATGAATCATGCACGTCTAAACTGTAGTTCTCCCCTGAAGGCCTTATTTTCTGTTTGATCAAACTTCAGTTGGATAAAACTGACTTTGTTGTGGCTTTAGTCACCATGTTAGCAGGTAAGCTAATGGTTACATTAGGTGAAATTACATGGTATACCCAAAGCACATCAGCTACCTGGCTAAGCCTATCTTTGCTACTCACTTTTCATAAGTGAAATGTTGTCTGAAGTCAGTTCTGTTGTCCTTCTCTGGAATGTGTGTTTGAGCTTTTGTGGACTCGGTACTACTCTTGGCTAGTGTTGCTCACTGTTGGCGCTGGGAGTAGAAGAGAGCGACACTAATGGTAGACACTAAGAATCGAGCATAATATTCTCGGATTTTTACAATAAATTCTCGGTCAGTCTTCACACAGAAATCATTCCACAGGTTCTTAAAGGCAACAAATAGTACAGAGGAAGGTCTCAGTTTTAAATTCTGTTACAGTCTGTTAACACATGGAAAAAAAGACGTTGCTGAAGACGCTTAAACTTGATATGAAAGTGCTTTTAAAAATGAGTCTTGCTTGCAGGCGCCCCGCCGTGGTTAGTCATTTCAGTGGTAACAAAGTGTCGGTTTTGTCACTGCTCTCTCCTGTCCATCTCTCTCTTTCCTTCTGCTGTTTCTGTAGCTCAGTGAATGTTTGTGCAGCGATTAATGGGGGGGCGTAGTCTGCAGTTTGGTAGCTCTCCATCTCTAACGGCCTGTGACTGCTGTGTGCATTCTTGGTGTAGTGCCAGTCTCACAGAATATTTCTGCCTTTACACATCTGCAGCTGCTTTGCTCTCAGTGGCTCTCGTAGCTCACTTTCATCCTCGTACCCTTTTTAATATAGTTACAGAGCGGCCGGTTCATGTGCTCGCCACATACAGCTGCCTGACCAGCATGTTTACACGTCTTTAAAGGCCAGTTAACCTTACTAAATTATTTAGACCATTCGAGCTTTAGTTGGCAGCGCAGCTTGCAACTATGTTAGTCATTGTGGTTGAATTCAAAGTAAAATATACTGCCATGCTTTTAGGTTGATGTAGTTTCTCTTACTCCATTCTTTGTAAGACTCTCAAAGGATTATTCATGTAGAGATTTTAGTGTGTAGAGGATATTTGAATCCTTGTTAGGGAGGAAAGCTCATGTTTTGCTGCAGGTAAATGCAGGTGAAGTGGTTACATATGATGCACAAATATTTCTTAGTAACCCACCCACTGGCTTGCTTCCTGAGCGCTTCTCTTATTATGCATATTAGTTGCTGCTCCGCTTATTTTTATCCTCTTTGATATGCTACATGCTACCAACTGGGCTTTCATGAAGCTTCCCTTTACCTTTCTACCCCCCACACCCGCCTCTCCATCTCTGAGCTGCATATGGTTTTGATGTGGAGCTGAGAGTCACTGACACACTCTGTAGAGGCATGTGAAAGGAGCCATTGTTAAACAGCAGGCCTTGGAAGTTGGCCAGCTAGTAATAGCTTTTTAAAATGAAATCTTGAGATTGGAAAGCTAATATATCGTCAGCATTGAGCCAAGTGTGTTCAGGGGGAGCTGTGTGGGAGGAATTTGTAACAGAACATTTACTAAAAAAATTTTCCTGCTGCAAGATGGATGCTATTAGTTATTTTTCTTCAATTGAGATTAAAAGGAATTCTATCAAGGTTACGCAATTGCTCTGATTTTTGTGTGTGTGTGCGTGCGTTCAGAGCCAACTGGGGAATTTGCACCAAGTTATTTATAAAGGTTGTTTTTTACATTACATGTCAGATTGTTATTAGCTTGGGAAAAAGTAGAGCAAATACACAGCTTTGAAAGCTTTAGCATGCAGTTGCAAAACACCTATTTCTTGTACTTGACAGTTGCTTTAATTCCTGCTGTTGAAAGTACTTTATCCTATTTCTTTTACTCACAGGCTCCGTGCACTGTCCAGTGGGGGGAGTGTGACGTCTCCCCCTCCTTCCCCCGCCATGCCAAAGTACAAGCTGGCCGAGTACCGCTACGGCCGAGAGGAGATGTTAGCACTTTATGTCAAAGACAACAAGGTTGGTTAATAGTTTACTCAGCCATTCTCGATTTATTACAGTCTATACCAATGAGAAACACTGAATCCCATTCACATGGGGCAAAAATGATGTAAGCTTACAGTCACCTGTTGACACAAGGAGATGGATATCAGCTAAAGCAGCGGTCTCCAACCTTTTTTGCGCCACGGACCGGTTTATGCCCGACAATATTTTCATGGACCGGCCTTTAAGGTTTTGCGGAAAAATACAACAAAATAAAACTAGTACCGGTACTGAAAAATAGAAGAGTTATTCATAACACACGTGAAAAGACCCAGGAAAATCGAGTTAACGATAAAAACGATAACAAAATAACGCTGAAAACCGATTTAAAAACCCTGAAAATCACACCTGAGCCTCAACTCTCGCGGCCCAGTACCAAACGACTCACGGACCGGTACCGGTCCGAGGTCCGGGGGTTGGGGACCGCTGAGCTAGAGAGATTAAACAATATAAAGTTATGAGATGCCGGGCTTGGAGTACATTGACAAAAACCCTGCCTTTAATATCTGTCTGTAAGCACAGAACACCAAACTGCAGTCCACCCCTGTTTGTAAGGGGCAGTCAATCAGAAGTAATTGTCTTAAAGAAGAAGATAAGAGAGGATGGCCGTACAGGAAAACTGCTTCTTTCAGACAGAATAACCCGACGGGCTGAAACAAAGCCCACAAGGAAGAAAATAAGGCTTACTCTGAATTGCGACTCATACAAAGCAGCATAAATAGTGTAGAACTTGAATTCACCACAATAGGACTTCTCTAAAGTGCTTTATAAGTCTGTATCCTTAAACATATGAACATGTTTGAAGTCAGAGTTCAAGTTTTTAAGAGGTGGTTTTGTCCTCTTGTTGCTGCTGCTGTTGCTTTTAGGTCCCAGAGGACATGCAGGATAAGGAGTTTGCTGCTATTCTGCAAGAAGAGCCCATGCAGCCACTGGCACTGGTGCCTCTCACTGAGGAGGAGCAGGTCTGCACCAGCCACACTCTCACAAATGCATATCTGCAAATGTTAAACTGTTTGAGCCCTATCTTGTGGTATCTCACCCTCATACAGATTCAGTTGACAGATGTGCCTGTGAGCTCACATTCCTCACATTCCTCTCTCCTTTTTTTTTTTTTTTTTGGCTCGTTCAACTCCCTCTGCAGAGGAACTTCTCCATGTCTGTGAACAGTGTGGCAGTGCTGAGGCTCATGGGAAAAGGAGTGGGTGGTGCGGCCCCAGCTGGAGTGGTCCGTGGACGAGGAGCCACACGGGGTGGTCGAGGTAACGGCAGGGAAAAAAAGTTGGATGAGGGACACAAGCAATAAAGTATAGCTCCGATTGAGCCTGTTCACAATCAGTTGTGCTTCCAGAGTCCAACAACAACAACAGAAGGGCTGCTTAAAGCCCTCGGCTCAAACTATAATGGCTGCTGCCCAGCTAAAAGAAAACAGTTTATTTAAGGCAACTACTAAAGTGTTTATTTCCTTCTTTCTTCCACCATCTTGGTGCAACACACTTCCTCTTGGCCTGTTTAAAATAGTCCTCCTTTTGTCCAGCCGCAGCCTAAAAGCACAGGGCTTACGCGCTTAGCCTGTCAACACATGCCAATGTAAACACATGCACAGTTCAGCCCAGCAAAGGAAACCACAAAAGAAGAATGATGTTCGATGGTGTGTTGATGTGTGCACCTGCCTGCAGGATGAAGCTACTTAACCACACATGCCTTGTTCTCTTTGTGTATAAACAGGCCGAGGCCGTGGTGAAGGTGGATTCTACCAAAGAAGTATTGAAGATGCCGAGGTGGGTTTCGGTCGCAGCGTCCGAGAGATTCACCGCAGCCAGAGCTGGGACGACCGGTAAGGATAAACTGCACACGGCACATGCACTGTCCTTAAAATGTTGGTAAGGTCATTCAAATAATGACTCCAAGTGCTCTGTTGCACAACAGAAGCCTGTTTTATCACTACTCAGAGGAGCTGTCAAGCAGTGTAGCATAGTCTGTAATCCTTTCAGGTATTTTTTGTATTTCTTCCAGTTTTCCTTCCAAGATCTGGATAAGCTGTGCAAAGGCATTGTCTCCAGTGTGAGGTGTTGGTTGCACACACTGCTTTCGGGTTAAAAACTGGCCCATGTTTTCTTCTGCTAGCTGGTCTAATTTTCCCTTCATTTCCCTCCTTTTCTCAGGGGTGAGCGTCGATTTGAGAAGCCGCTGCGGCGGGAGGTGGGACGTCCTGGCTTTGAAGAAACTGGAGGTCCCGGGGGTCCGGGGAGGAAAGAGTACACAAGGGCTGACAGTGATAACTGGCGCACCCTACGGGAGGAGCAGGAGGAAGACGAAGGGGAGCCGGGCAGTAACTGGAGACTTGCTGGATCCCGTAGGGATGGTATGATAAACACAAACGGGTTTTTTTTATTGTCATAAACTCTGCTTTGTTTATTCCTCTTTCTGCTGTCAACACAAGCTAAGACTTGGATCAAATTTTTAATGTTCCTTTAACATAAACCTTTTGCCCTAACTCATTAGTGTGGAAGCTACACTTTGGTATAGCCTCATTAAAATCACTAAGATGGAGCATCACTGAGATTTGTATTACTCATCATTCTACTGTTAAATTACTGTGTTTTTAAACCTATGTTAACAATGTGTGTGTCAACTTTAGCTTAAAGGACATTGTACTGGCATCTAGTGGTTAGTGATGGGAAGACCGAGCAGCTGGGTTTAGGTTAAACTAAAGCTTCCTGAGTTTCTGCAGACTCAGCAGTCGGCTTCAATGAATTATGATCTTTCCAAACCAGATATCTTGAAAATGAAACTCCAGATTGAGTTTAATACATTTCTGAGTGTAGCTCAGGGCAGTTTTGAAGCTAATAACTTTCCATTTGTTTACCAGATGGTGGTCCTCGCTCAGCGGGCTGGCGGGACCACAGTGGTCCAGGAGAAGGTCGGAGGAGGAAGTTTGATTTCGACTTCCGGGACTCTGACGGTCACGGTGGCGGGCGTCGGCGCGCAGGCAGCGATGGTCTAGAGGACGATAGGGACGGCCTGCCCGAGTGGTGTACAGATGAGGAGGATGGGGAGATGGGCACTTTTGACTCGTCTGGAGCGTTCATGCCTATGAAGGTACTCAGAATGATTTTTCTGTTACTGTTACGATATTGTTTTAATATTTGTTTGTTGAGATCGCTTCACTTTTTTGGTCTGTATCTTGTATCAGAAGAGTGGCAAGGAGACAATCCTGGAGGAGTTTGAGTTTAAGGGGATTGAGGAAGAGGAAGAGGAGGGAGACAGCCTTGCTGATATGGAGAGGAACAGCGCTGAAGGAGACAAAGACAAGGGTCAGGCGACACCAGGTGTCTTTATTTGATCTTGTAGAAGACATTTACATGTTGTCTTCTATCTTTTACCTTCACTGATCATAGTCAATGGAGGATTCATTACTTTTTTTTTTCCTTCCTTTCTTCCACTCCTGGCCTCACAGAGATTAAAGAAGCCATCTTTGTTGTTGGAGATGGTGAGACAAAGCCAGCATCTCCTTCGTCTTCTCCAACAGTTCACTGTCCTCCTCCATCGCTGGAGTCCCAACCCAGCAGTGCTAGTCAAGTGGTGGATAATGCTCAGCTGAGCAACAGCCAGTCTGTGAAGGCCAGCAGCACGTCTGGTGAAGGTAGGTCATGTTCCACATACCTCTGTGTTAGTGTGCCAACAGGACAAAACAGCAATATTATCTTTTTTTTTTTTTTAATTTGTTTTAGGCAATTTCATTAATGTGTTAAACTCTTATAAGAAAAAAAAGAACATGTTCACTGTCTATATCAAATATACATGCTTCTGCATTTCAGTAATTATTAGACTGTTTAATTTTGTATAAATCTGGAAAATAAAGTTATTTAGACAACTTTTTATTGTGCAATGATTTAAATTAAAAAAAGGCTTCTAAAGTGAGAGATCCTGAGCCTTTGGTTTCATGACCTCAGCCCTTTCAGTCTCAGGTCGGCGTGTTTGAGCAAGGAAATTCAGCCATGTTGATATTTTGGTTTGATATAGAATATGTTTGCCTCAGTCATTTGATACTTTGTTTACTGAACTGGCTGTGGCTGCTGGATGTGACACAGAGCCAGTAGGCGGCTTTACAGCTCACATCAAACAACACCAAACGCTAAACTATAAATAGAAACACTATAAATAGGGGCCATTGTTTTACTTGTTTCTTCTTTTTCTTTTCACGTGCGTATGTCAGATGCAGCTCCATTAGGGGGCTCCAAGGCCCAGCTGAGTCCCAGCACCGCAGCCACCTCCTCCAGCCTGCCTCCTCCACCCCCCTCATCTGCTGCTCCTCTACTCCCGCCATCTGGAGGAGACGCCGAGGACGACGAAGGCATGAAACACCTGCAGCAGGTAGGAGCAGCAAGAGGAACATTTCAGACAAATTATGTAATCATGTCTAATCAAACTACATTTCACAGCCTTCAGGTGAGGGATGAAACTGGTGATTATTTTGCTGCTGAATATTCAAAAGCAGTACTGCACTTTTCTTTTTTTGTCTTTTGATAAAACTCTCTGCTTTGAATAAAAACGCGATGGTTAGGGGGGAGGCTGCAAATATAGAGCAGTTCATTTGATGCTGATTGATGTGCCGGAAACTGAAAAGGACGTCTGCATGTCTGTTCTGTGCTCTTCTATATATTGTTTATATTTTCACATATGTTACTTTAAACAAGCATCACTATCATAACCTTGTCTTACTAGATCTAAAACCTGTAGAGCTTTGTTTTAGCTGGTATCGGTGCATTCAAAGTTGTGAGTCTTAGCTGTACTGTTAGCATCGCCACCTTTTCATCCTACGGGTGAGCCTGCTACACCAACTCTGTCGACTACATAATGAATGTTTGTTTATATTTGTGTAGGAGGCAGAGAAGATGGTGGCATCACTGCAGGATACTTCTTTGGAGGAGGAGTGCTTCACCCAGGCTCTGCAGCAGCAGGAGAGCAGGAACACGGCAGCTGCTCTGCCGCTATCTCACGAGGCTGCCATGAAGTGGTTCTATAAGGACCCCCAGGGAGAGATCCAGGGTACTCCTATTCTCCTGATGATACTTTCTAAAATGAATAAAAACTGTTAATTTCTTGAGGTGAGATGAAGCTAGTCCGCCACCTAAGGTCAGTTTCTGCATTGCAAACTCTCCTCTGTCCTGCCCACCAACCAGGTCCATTCACCACGGTGGAGATGTGTGAGTGGTTTCAGGCTGGCTACTTCACCATGACCCTGCTGGTGAAGCGGGGCTGTGATGAAGGTTTCCAACCCCTGGGGGATGTCATCAAGATGTGGGGCCGCGTGCCCTTTGCCCCGGGTCCCTCCCCGCCGCCCCTGCTGGTGAGACAGCTACCACCAACGCAGCGCCCGCAGCCCAACCGGGGGCCCGCCGGGACTGTGAGTCAGAGCTCAGCCACCCGAGAGGATGGGGAGGGGAGGATGCAAATGAGAGGGCACATTTATAGACAGGTTATGGTGGCAGGAATTGTAATTTTAAATTCTCACCTCTTAATGTCACACAGTTGATTTAATGAAGTTTCATTGCATGCTGACTTGGATAAATGTGTGTAAATGTAGCTGAAATATTACCAGAAGCCAGTCTGTTCTAGATGCAGTAATTTGCTATTGTAATTTTGAGTCTGACTTTTCCTTTGTGTTGACATTATATCTTTCTCCTTCATCAGGGAAACCTGGACCAGGAGCGCCTGAAAAAGCAACAGGAGCTTGCAGCAGCAGCTCTTTATCAACAGCTCCAACAGCAGCAGCAGCTATTCCAGCTCATGAACAGGTGGGTGGAGGCTTCGCCCTAAATTTGTTGGAGTTCATTCCGGTCCTAGTTTGAACTTTGGAGGATATGTTTAGTTTCAAAGTAAACGTACACGTCGGGTGTTGCTTTATGTCCCAGGTGCAGTGAGCAGAGTATGATGCCTTCGATGAACAGATCGATGTCAGTGCCAGATACAGGGTCCATGTGGGACATGCATACCTCAGCTTCACAGCCGTCAGGTACAGTGTGGGCTGCTGCTGTTTGTGCACACACAGGCAGGCACAGTTAAAATACACAAACTGTAGCTGCTGCCGCTAAAATGATCCTTTTTCACTTCCATGTAGGTGGTGAAGCCAGTCTTTGGGACATAACAATGAATCCTTCTACTCAGGGTCCAACTCTCGAACAGCTTCAGAAGGTGAGGGCTGTTGAATAGTAATATCAGACTGTGAGTCCATTGAGTCATACCAGCGTCAGATCCAAATATTCATTCAGGATTACTGATGACGCATTTCCTTTAGCTCCAGCAGGAGAGGCGAGACGCTGAACTCAGGGCGAAGCGTGAGGAAGAGGAGCAGCGTAAGCGAAGGGAGGAGAAGAGAAGGCAACAGGAGGAGCAGAAAAGGAGGGAGGAGGAGGAGATCTTCAGACGCAAGCAGGTGGAGAAATTTTGCATTCGTTTTATCCCATGTGTTGCCTTGGGGTTGTTAAATATGTTACTGGCTTTGTTCATTAAAGCAAAGATATTCCGTGCTGCGTTTTGATTTAGTTTTCATAATGTTTGATATTTTATTTGCTTTGCTGAGCGGCACCAAATGCTGTTTTCCTCTAAGAAACGAGAACCACAGCTATAGCCTGATCTGTCATATGTTCCCGCAGTGTCGTCAGCAGCAGGAACTGATCATGAAATTGCTGCAGCAGACCCCCCAGCAGCAAGGACCGGGGGCAGGCAGCTCTAGTTGGAGTGGGGCTTCCTCTTCTGGGCTTTCTAAGGCAGGAAAGCCCCAGGCTCTGGCTTTGCTGGAAATACAGCAGGAGACTGAGAGACTCCTGAAGCAGCAGCAGAGAGCCCAGCAGCAGAGAGACCGCGTGAGTTCACCATTCAGGTCTACAGCAGTGATAATGTTAGCATGTAGCAGGAATTTGCATGTTTAAAATAAAAACGTACATATTGTTGGTCATTTATGGAGCCTGATTTTTATCTGTTTGCAGCACTCTGGTTTGTCGATGGGGAGCTCCTCCATGGGAGGGCAGTGGGTGGATGGCGTCGGTATGTGGGGAGGGCCGGGTAGTCTGGAGAGTAAGAGCAGTAGTGGAGGGTCTTCGGGCAGCATGGGCATGTGGGACGAGGCTGTGAAGAACCAGACCGGCCTGCGTGGGAACAGCAACAACAACATGGGCCTTAAGAACAGCCGCAGCAGCCCATCACTCAGGTGAGCATGTCTGGGGATCTCAGCTGATGTGGATTGTTGGATTGCCCAGTTATAAAGGACTGCTTGCAGGAAAAAATGAATTTCTTTTAGTTGATGATAGTAATGATATCATTTGCCTGGGTGTCCTCCACAGTGATCAGTACATGATCCGTCGTAAGCGCACCGAGGAGGAGGAGAAGCTGCTGAAGCTGCTGCAGGGCATGAAGCCTCAGGACGGCTTCACCACCTGGTGTGAACAGATGCTGCACGCTCTCAACACCTCTGCCAACAACTCCTCCTCCTCTGTGGATGGTAGGCTGTTCAACTTTATCACATTTAGCAATCTAAAGGGTGTTTAGAGTTTACCCTCAGCTTACAGACATCAATAGCTGATGTCTGTGTAAATTACAGCAACAATTCTGTGTCACTAATCATTCACGCTGTGTGTTTATCAAGTTGCCACAATTGTGGCATACCTGAAGGAGGTGGAGTCTCCCTATGCAGTGCTGGATTTCATCCGGTCCTACCTAGGGGACACAGTGGAAGCCAAAGAGTTCGCCAAACAGTTTCTGGAGCGACGTGCCAAACAGAAAGCCAACCAACAGAGACAGCAGCAACAGGTAGGCC